CAATAAGTTAAACATTTAGACTTCTTTGGGAATAATTTCTATTGACACTTTTATTTCCTGTGTACAGGACTTTTTGTTTGTTTCTTTTCATGTCTCATATCTTTTGGTTGAAAACTAGGTATTCTCATAATATAATGAGAAATTAGATTTTTCTTTTCTTTGCTGTTTGTTGTTCTTTAGTGATTTCTCTGAACTAAATCTGTAAAATGTGTGCTTTTTTGTCATAAGTAGTAACTGAAGGCTCTGCTTGGTTAGTTTAATGGTCAGCTGATAACTAGACAGCAATTTTCTTAAATGTCTTGAACCTATGTTACTGCCTTCACAGAAGGGCTTTGTGTTTGTGTTGGGACACACCTTCAATATTCAGTCAGGCAGCTGACAACTCTACCTTAGTCTTCACTTCCTGCTTGCACAGAGACTCAAAGTCAGATAGAGATGAGATCTTAGGATCTTCTCAGGCTTCCTGATTGTCTAGCCCTAGACATGCATGTGGTCTGCTAGTTTCCCAGGAATATATCAGAGCCTGTCAAAGCCCCTTTATGGACATCTCATTACCCAGCTTTTGAACAATTTTAAACAATTGTGAAGCAATTGCTGATGTTTGTTCCTAACAAATACCCTACAGGAAAAGCCTATTTTCCCTTGTTGAACTCTAAGCCAGATCAAATAAAGACAAACCTTGTGACTGATCTTCTAGGGAACCACTAAATAGGTCAAATAATAACAGTTCTCTGGGAATGGAGCTTTGAAGCATTCTCCCAGCCCCCCAACTAGCTAACAGGCTACTGATTTTTACTCTGAATGTCAACTGCTGGTTTTTGAAACTAACACAAAGCTGGAAGAAGATGGGAATACAGCAAGTTAAAATTCTACAAAGCCTGCTATTTTTATTGAATTAAGTCATTTGTTTTGAAAAAAAAAAATACTTACCAGACTGCTGCAAGCCTTTGATTAATTTCTAAGATTCTGAGAAAAGTTAATTCTGATGATTTTTGTTGATGTTCTTATTGTTTTCGTGAAGGAGAGGATTTTTGGAAGTCTGATTATGCCATTTTCCCTGACATCCTATTTTTTTTGCTTTTAATCTCTATGTGATATGTTTATTTAGGATTTCCACTTATGAATGGCTTTATTTTTTTTCATTTCAATTGGAAAATTCTTTTATTAGGAAAAATAAACCTTTTAGTATATTGTGTTCACGGATATATTCAATCTTAGCCCTACTATTTTATTTTACATTTCTATTAATTATTTTTATTAGTTTTTTAAGTTTTAAAGTTATTTTAGTCTTACTTTTATTCCACTCCTTCCTTCACTACTCTGAAGTTCTACTTCTTATTTCCATTTTACTAAAAGTTACTGTAAACATACATTCTAAAATATAAACTTATATTTTTCTACTAAAATTAAAGCTAAATAGTATAATAAATACATGAAGTCATATTTCAAGAAAATGTTTAAACAATAAAGAAAACCAAATTACTATATTTCACAGTCTCTGGGAAAAAGACTTGGGGTATTCTTAATAATGACTGCTATTTACTGAGTGGCTAATATTCACCAAACATAATATGGACATTTCATTTGTTGATTAAGCTAATCACAACTCCAAGAGAAATGTCTTATTATTACTGTCTTTTTAAATATAATTCAATAAATTTAAAGAATTTATGTAATATGCCCAAAGCCACATAGATTTTAGGTAACAATGTCAAGATTCAAGCCTACACCTACCAAATTCCACGGCCAAAGCTGCACTGATTCTCAAATGTTTGTCCCTTTATATCAGGGTAAAAATTTGTTGGGAGGGGTGTACACATTTACAAGAATGGATAATAGAAAAGTTGTCTTTCTCACTCTCTCATTTGATGAAATTTTAAATGTAAAGGAGAGAAAGAAAACAGTGATAAATAAAAGCCAGAAGAGTGGAAACATGCTAAAGAATAGCCTGAGAGGAAGAGACAGCTGGGAGAGTATGAGAAGGAAGTCAGAGAGACCGAGAAAGTCAACCTATTTTAACTGAAGGGAACAGATGGGAGATGAACAAAGACAAAAGGGGCCATGTGGGTAGGTGTCATCAGTTAGAGGGCAAGTAGCTGGAATTTGATCAATCGACAAGAATTTATTTACTGGACTCCTGGGCATTGTGGGAGATTCAAAAGAATGTAGTTATTTTTGGAACAATAATGATGTAGACAAGACAGATGGCTTGAACTGGGGCATTAATGCTGAAGGAAAAGGCTAGAAACAGAAGGCAGAAATAAAGAGGTTAAGGCAATCCTCATGTGAGCCAGCATGCATATGAATCCAAGATTTTTATGGAAATGGAAAGAAATAAATTGCAGGGAATCCTATAATTGCTATTGAATCAAAGGTAAAAGATTTGTATATGGAGGGGGGAAGATGCTAAATCACATATTGTTTCCATTTCTGCTTTTTTTTAAATTAAAAAATTATTAAAGATCTATAAAAATACACCATACATGCATACACACACTACACCTGATGCTTTGCATCATCTTCCCAAGTGTAAATATGTCCATTTAGGTAAAACCTGGTAGGGCTAAGACTAGCATATGACTAAGACTGAATAGTTGGCTACTTTGAAAAGAGCTAGGAAGTTTTTTGGTCTTGGAGGAAGCTGCGAGAAGATGTAAAAGGTGCCTGAGGATGGTAACCAATGTAAGAAGATGGCTTTCTATTTGTCAAAGTGAATGTAAGTCAACTAGTTAGTGCTAGTACACATGAAACTCAGTTTAGAGATATGAGAAGGAAGTGTACTTTCTGGGTAGCCTTCCAGTATAATGTATGTAAGATTGTCATACCAGTATTCAGTATCTTTTTAATGCCTCTGTAACAAAAACATTAGCTACCATGAGTCTTCCCATATACTAAGTTCTGTACATGCATTATTGGATTAAATTCTCACAACCATAATCTGTAAATGCTACTTTTATCCCTGTTTTGTAAGGGAGAAATGTTAAGTAATTTGATCAAGATTACATAGTCAGTAGGCGAAAGAGAAACACAGAAAGGATTGAGGCATGACTATGACCCATTAAGAGTTGCTTTCTCCTCCCCTCCTCTTTATCTCTATCTCTGTCTGGCAAATACACACACCTTCTGGAAACTAAAGAAAAAATCATAACCTAATCTGTGTTGTAGTCCTTTTACCCTAAGGCTGACACATTTTAAGTGACAGGGATATAAAAATTAAGACTTGGTGTGGGGTGGGGGGGAGAGGGGCAGATAGTGACCAAGCAGTAAAATGTGGTGTTCTGCATTGCAAGTCAACATGAGAAGGTTGCTGGATTGTGTCCAGAGACCTCTCTGAGTATGCTTGGCATGTGTATCTACATGATCTGAACTGGTTGAGGCTGAGGGTGATATACCTTCATCTCTCATCTCTCTGTCTCTCTCACTCATCAAATAAGTAAATAACACTTAAACACAAAAGACTTGGCAGTAGACTACATGGGAGGAAGAGAGGAGAACAATTACAGTACAATAAGATACTTGCAATGAAAGTATATACTGTGAACAAGTGAAGAAATATATAAATTTGCCTGGGGATGTCCAGGATTATGTGAACATTGATTTTAAGTATCAACAATCATTTCTAAGGTGATGAAAGCAGAAATGGAATTCCAATACATGCAAAATGATGCATGTAAAAACCAAGAGGTAGGAAAAGCTTTAAAGTATTTAGAAACCTCTAAGGAGGTTAGAGAGACTGAAACACAACATGTACATTAGGAGATGAGGTTGGAGAGATAAACACTTGTGTAAGACATTAAAGAATTTAGGTTTTATCTTGTAGGAACTAAAGAAATCATTGAAGTCAATGCTTTGAAGAGTTTAATCAACAAAAGAGAGTCTACACTGCATAAGAGGTCCATAAGGCTATAGAAACTCAAGGACTACAGATGACCTAAAGGTCACAGCTAAGTAGCAATGGCAACAAGACAAACAGACCATTCAAAATCTGAAGGCAGTGGTAAAAAGACAACAACATGCTCCAGAGTGCCCTGGGCCCTGTGCATCAGATGCTGCACTTGGTGGAGAGACTTTGCACATAACTGTCTTGGCTAGTTATGTTATTTATGCATTTGTTCATCTAGTATATATATACATGCCAGGCAACCATAACCCTGTAGCATCAATATTTTGATATCAAAAACAATGGTGGCTGGGTTTTGAAATACTGGGTCATTGGAAAAGTCACAATTTTTGCATAGAAAAAATATGTCATGACTTTTCTGATGGCCCAATAGTATGAATGAACTCATGGAAACTGACTTCAGGTGTGAGGACCTAGTTATAGAACAAAAGTCAAGTATGACTTGGAGAATGCCAGTAGAGAGTGCCCTGAAGAGCCTTATCAGGTTGTCTGGGGTGAAAAGGAATGGGTCTATGAATACAAATCCCCTACGTCTCTGGGCACTGGGATCATTCACAGAATCACAGATGACAGGGACCTCAAGAGAGGGAGGTGTGCAGAGAGCGTTGCATTTTCTGTAATACCCAACACAGATCATCATCCAAGAAGAGATAAATGGAAATTTCCCAATTACATATACCCAAGAGAAACTGAGCAGACCCCTAGGTTAAAGAATAAAAAACTTCCTCAACTGCAATAGAAATTAAAACGCTTTGAGTAGATGTTTATATCATATAAATGTCTGTATGTAAATTAACATGTTGATACAGTAAATGGAGGTTGTCATTTTATTCCTGCCACTAATTAGCTCTGTGGCCATAAACAAGCTGCTTCCTTTCCCTGGGTTTCAACTTTCTCATCTATAACATAAATAAGCTGAGTCTAATGATCTCTGTGGCCCTTTCCAGCTATAACATAAATAATCTGAGTCTAATGATCTCTTTGGCCCTTTCCAGCTACAATATAGTATAAGGATCCAGATGGTTACTGAAGATGATAAAATTATTTGTCAACTTATTTTGTTGTGTAAAAGATCAACATCCAATTTTCCTTTTTTTAGGAATTACTGTGTGAAAATGACCCAACAAATGCAGAACTTACATCTTTCTCAGTCAAAAAAACACAGTGCCCCATCATCTCCCAATGCTGCCAAACGTCTGTATAGGAACCTCTCTGAGAAGCTGAAGGGAAGCCACTCGTCATTTGATGAGGCCTACTTTAGGACAAGAACTGATCGGCTGAGTCTCAGAAAGACCTCGGTGGTAACAAAACTCTTTTTATTCTTGTATCAGTTGGATTTATTCAGTTATATTTGGATTTAAGGAGAGTCTAAGATACCTAAATTTATTTCAGAAGCTGGTATTTGTAATTTTATAAATGTTGAAATAGAGTCATGTCTATCAAGAACTGCCCATATCTGTTGTTAGACAAAGTGATCGTGAGATTTTCCCTTTCATTCTCTTAACTTCTTTCCTTTATTTTGCCCTTAATTTTTTCTTTCACTACTAGATCATAGAAACTAATCTCAAAAAAGTAGTAGTTGGATAAACGTAGAGTCTCAGATTAAACAGCCTCTGAGAGCTACAGTGTTCATTCAAATAATAGTATTATTTACTTCTTCCTAATGCATATTCCACTTGCTTTCCAAATACATTAGAAACAGAACCCAAGTACCAGCAGATAGCGTAATGGTTATGTTGCTGGACTCCCACATAGTCAACCACAGTTCAAGTCCCAAACCCAGTGGCTTAAAACACACCAGGTGCATGTGCACACATGCCCAAAATCTCAAGAGGAGAATGGAGAAGAAGGAATTGTGCCATGGCCATCTGCCCTGCAGGGTTATTTCTTGCTTTCTGTCTCTGTCTCTCTGTTGCTCTGGTGAGCACATGTGCCCTATAGTAAAAAATCTCTCTCTAAAAATAAAGAAAAATAAAGAAAAACAGAATCCAGCCAAAGAATACGCATGCACGCATGTGCACACGCACACACACACACACACAATATATTATGTAGTAGGTGGAAGAAAAGAGAGAGGAAGATAAATGAAAAGAAAAAGAAAAAAAAAGGAAATGAAACTACAAAAAACTATTGTACATGAGAATAAAAATAGATATGCCAAAAACTTTGGCAAATGTAGTAGCTGAAATTTATTATTACATTTATCTTTGCTTTCCTAGGCAGT